TGCCCTGGCTCAGCTTGAGTCCTCCAAGGCACTGCCAGGAGCTGTCTGGGCACCCACAGGAGTCAGTGCCCGTCAGGCTTCTTGGAAATGCCGCAGATGCGGGCGAACACCTCACACCATGTGGAGGCACCAGTTGTTACTTCCTTCCTCTTTTCCAGGGACAGAAACAGCCACCGTCACACAGGCCTGTGCCCTTCTGCTCCACCCCTGTGTGAATCACACCGGCAGCTGCCCAAGGTGAGAGGAGTAATGACAGAAATCCCCCCATCCAGGCCTGTGTAGGGCGGTTATGAAGACCTCAGGCCGGCATGTCACTCATTCACTTCTCCATAACCAGAAAGGCAGTAATAGCTATTATTTTGTTTGCTAATAACTAATTCTTGGCTCATGCAAGGCTAGAGACCAGCTTCTTGCGCTCAGGAAGGGAAGGGATGTGCCACAGGGTTTCACTTGGTGCTTTGAGACTTCTCCCCACAATGCAGGCACTGGAGCGTTGCAAAACTGAGATGAGCCCTCCAGCCCATGCTACCAGCAGGACAGCACCTGCAGACACCATCTCTCAGTGATGGCTGAGAGAGACGGCACACAAAATAAACCTGTCACTGCAAGGGCATCTGCGAGTGACAGCAACCTGACTGAGGAAGGGCCAGCCCTGTCTGCAGAGCGAGGCAGCTGCCTGTAATGTGTGCGCCTGTAATGGAAGGGGAGTCCTGAGGAGCATCTCCTCAATGCTCCTCCTCTGCTTCCTGAGCCACACAGATCATGCAGGCACACAGCAGCTGCATGGTTATGCCACCATGGAGCAGGAGGTGCAGGGCAGTGGAAAGGCCACCATAGCTATAGTTAAGCAGTTACAGCAATGCAAACATATGCACAAAGGTGGTTTTCTCCCTGAATTTTGTTTTGAACAGCTCGCCACTCACAGCACACCACGGAGGGCACACAGGTCAGCCGGGACAGGCACGCACTGATACCCAGTCAGGAGGTTTTGTGCTTACAGCTGTGAAGGAAATCTCTGAGACATAAAAGTTGTTTCCTCACATCCAGTTCATTGCTGTTGTTTCGGAGCCAGGGAGTTTGGCTAACACAACTGTGCTCCTAGCTGGCTTCTTTTCAGGGGCTGAACTGACTTTTAGTGAAGTCAAGGTAGTTAACTTGCTCACAAAGGCAAGCACAAGCAAGCCATTCTGATGTTCTGAAGTGAAGCCATTTATTCTTTGTATATTAACCTGAGCCCTGTGTAGCAGAGGCATTAGGAGAAAGTGCTAAGAGACTTGAATTGCTGCATTGATTTGAAATTGTTTAGTGGCTGTACTCATTTGAACGCAACAATAATACAGGAAAGGCTGAGATGTCAGAGTGCAACAGGGGTTTTCAATTCGTGTCTGACCCCTGTGGTGATTTATTGCATAGTGGTGCCACTTACAGAAAGGCTGTTTTAAATGCATTTTCTTTATCAAGACAAGCATTAGCTAATATGTGTTCACACACCTGAGCAATTGCAGAGTGCCCACAAAAACTGCATAAATATTTGTGAACTCTTAATTGCAAATATCAGGCAAAACAGTATCAATTATATCTAACAAGCTTGAATAAGGTCTCATATGAAAAACTGGGGGAGGAGGGGAGAAGATCTGAAACATTTCTTTATTATTTATTCTTAGAAAATATTTATATTTTATGCTGCAGAACAAGGAAGTATAAAAAGGCTGGAAATCTGTATTTAATAATGTAATGTACTTGCTACATTTTGCAGCTTAATAGGGGAAAATACTTCTTTTCTCCTGCTAGAAGAATAATTCCCAATTTTAATCACAATTGCATATTTATTCAACTTTTAATCAGATTTGCAGAGTTCAGTAAAACAATTAGTGATCCAGAATTACTTTTGCTGTCAAAATGAGAAGTCGGACGCTGACAAAAAGAGCAGTGCTACTGCTGCCACTGCTGCTCTCATTCTGAGTTCCATGTATTTTCTTTCTTATTTTTTTCTTTTTGTTTTTTAACCTATTTTACCAGCAAGCGAAAGTAAAATTAGCAGTGGAATAACAAACTGAAAGAGATTGGTTTGAGAAGACAGAAAAGGAACATTTGGGCAACAGCTTGACCCGACTGAGGCGAGGCTGCACGTTGTTTCTCTCTCCCCCAACCTGCTGTTTTTCAGAGCAAGACAAGTTGAAAATAACACGTGTGCCCAGCTGTCGTTTGAATGTGTTTTGAATATTAGAGCCCGATCTTTACCCCTGAGCCATACCTGGTGACCCTGTTGCTCAAGCAACATTAGTAACATCACCCTGGTAGGGTTCTGTGGCAGACCTCAGCAGTCCCGCGCAGCTGCAGTTGTGTGAGCCTCACCCCAATCAGCCATGTGGCCAAAATCTTGGGCCAAGTTCTGATCTATCCAGGTTCCACTCTCTGTGTCTGAGTTGCCACACTTTGTGCGCACACTTTTTGTGCACACGTTTGTGCACTCACTTTTCCCCAAGTTCTACAGCTCAGGGAAACCTGCATAATTACAGACACTAAAATACTGCTCTTCACAGTTCGTTCCCAGTGAGAAGTGCCTCTTAGCTCTGAGAATCTGAAAATAACCAGGCTGTGAAAACTGATAGCCCTTTTTTCCACAGAGCACCAAACTAAAATCCCCTTATTACTTTATCCTCTCTCCAATTTGATTTTAAAAGTCAGCTGGCTTTCAGTGCCCTCATACTTCACACTGGCTCTAGGATGCACAGTATCAAGCCACCCCTAAATTCCCTGTGCATCCCATGTCATCAGCCCAGGTGTCTCAGGGAATTCTGTCCACTTTTCTTCACTGTATTGCAAGCAGACCTTGAGCTCTTCATTTTGTAAAACACCGTAAGAAGCCTTGTGAAGCAAACGCAGATAAGATGGGATTGTCAGTTATGGCGTGATTCTGGAATGCATCTTCATCTGTCTTAATCTGATACAAAAACCCTCTGGAGCTTCCTGGTTCCCAAACCTGGCAATACTGTGCCAGACACCACAACACAGCATCCAGGCCTAGCAGTTACTGCTCTTCAATGCATAAAAACAGCAGCATGAACTGTTGTAGGCAAAGCTTAACTCACAGGGAAAAAAGACCATTTAACAAAACATGCTGGCAAAAATGTGTCTTGAAAAAGAGTTGAAACAAGGTATTAAATCCATTAGAGCAGTGGTGACTGTAACAAAAATGTCCACAATTGTAACAGATTTGAACACACACAAGGTGACATTTTGCATGTGATCTTTAATGTTTAAACAGTAACAGTGGCTACTTTTAAATTAGGTTACAAAGAGCAAACCTTTCAGTGAAGAGGCACTGCAAGAGTTGAGATGTAGAAACGTATTTCTCCCAAAAGCCAAGGACAGCAAACACCTAGCCCCTTGTGTAACTCTGCAGTAGTACACCATTCAGGTTCTTTTACAAACATGTCAGTTTTAGTGTTTCAGGGGGCAAAGGATTTGCAATCAACAGTTGAACAGAAAGTAGGAATGAGTACAGGAAAGATGGGTGGTGACAGGAGCCCTCATGTTCTCAGGTGCAGAAGCTTGTAAAGATTTACAGCTGATATGAAAACCTCACATGAGACCAGTATGTTTTTGTGACCACAAACCTCTTTTACAATCAGGTTGATGGCTGGTAAATGTTTACCAGCCTGGGAGCTGGCAGGATGATCACATCAAGTGTCCTGTGCATCGCTGCCATTCAAGATGCCTGTGATGCAAATATTTGCTCACCAACATCACGGGTGAGGTCATCTCTGGGATTCATAGGAGGGGAATGATTTCTTTCAGAATGTCTCTTTATAGAGAAGCTCAGAGGTACAATAGAGTAGGAGAACACCCAACCAGTTTTTCAGGGACAGACTATAGATCGATGAGATCTGAGCTATAGCTTATTTGCTTAGTAGGGTGACTCCTGAAGTCCCATCTTGGATTTGAATCAGACAAGCCACTTTATCCATTCCTGTTGGAACACATGAGTAAGGGCTCAGTCAAAACAGGCACAGGTCATTCTTCCTGAATCTGTACATGCCATCTTTTATGGTGCCATGTTATAAGCCCTTCAAAGGTCAGTTCTGAGCTAGCTGAAGGACAGGGAAAGGGAGAAAAAAACTATGCTGCACTAAGAAATCCCCCAGGGGATTTCCTCTATAGAAACTTCTGGATGAGACAGATCTGCAAGACCTGAGAGGTGGTGTGGGGCAGAGGGGACGGATAACCTTAGGAGGAGGGAACACTGCAACTCACGAGGAGTGCACAGCATTGCATGTTGACCCCACTCCATCTTGTAGCAGAGTGCTCTTACACACCTGGAATTTCCAACTCCTTGGCCTTTCTGTGCAGGAGGGTAAGTTGGCCTGAGCAGGTATGTCAGGATTTGAATCTTAGACTTGTCAGGCTTCCCAGGATGCAAAGCCTGTTTCAGTCTCAGTTTGATACAACCCAGGCAGCTATACTCAGTATAAAAATTTATTTAGCCATTCTAAATACTCACATTCAACATTGCCCTGTACTTAATTTTTTACTATGGTTGGTGACAGGTTTCACTGTTTCAGATGAAAGGTACTAAAAACACAGGAGAATTTTGGTGCTTATGAAAAAAACAAAACCCAAGAAAACCCAAAACTGACCTTTCATCTCTGGAGACTGAAATCTTTTGCCTTCAGAATTATAGCAGGGACAACAGAGGAGATGATAGCACATATTCATCTCAGTCACCCCAACAATATGTCTAAACCAGTTCTGACTGCAAGCCAGCCCTTCTGGGGTTGTAACCAGATGAGGTCTAGGAAGAATCAGGTTAGTTTCCTCCTGGTTCACCCCATCTAAAACTCACGAAGCCACAGGACAGCTGTCAAATGTCACTAAGTTTTGATCACTCCTATGCTAGATGTACTTGATTTCATTACTGTTATGCAGTGACTTGGAGATGTCTGAGAAGTGCTAGGCTTGTCTGCAGGCCATTTGTTATATGGATAAGATGATTTACGTCTGTGGTTAGCTAAAGGAAGAACCTCCAAAACATGAAAACAGTCAGGATTTTACAACAATGTATACAAGAGTCTTTTAAATAGAATACAAAGTGGTCAGATTTTATAACACAAAGTTTTTAAAGTAAAAAAAAAAACAACAAAACAACTCCACATGGACTGACATGTCAAGAGGCAGGGGTTGATACAAGCAGATGTCATTAAACAAATGTAGACAAACCAGCAAGTGAGGAACATCAACAGAAACAACAACAAAATCAGCATAGCTAATACCTGTAGCTCTCCAGGCTAGGTCTGTTCCAGTCCAAGCTAGGGAAGTCCAAACAAAGGCTTGTGAATAAGGGTAAGTACCTGCACCTTCATTTTTTCAAGACAGTGCCCATGCATGGTCAGATAGAGTGCACATCTGTCTCAGTGGGGGCACCTGCACTGTGGTCCTGCCAGGAGTCCTCCTTTGATTCACCTCCCATTCTCTCTACCGCAGTACCTTTGTGTGAAGACAGAAGGAATGAACGGGAGAACCCACTGCTGACAGTCCTCAAAAGATCTTGCACTCATTAACGGAGAAGAGCTTCCGCCTGTTCTGCCTTTTGGCCTGATTGACTGCTGTCCGCACGGCGTACTCAAACACCTGCTGCACCCCACGGTTGCTGAGGGCAGAGCACTCCAGATAGCCTTTGGCTCGTACTTCCTGGGCAAGCCGCTTCCCATCTATGGCGCTGATGCAGGAGGAACGGTAGGGCCCCACGTCCCGCTGGTCAGTCTGAGTGGCCACTACCAAAACAGGGATGCGGGGCAGATGGCTGCGGATCTCACCAATCCACTTGTTCCTCAGGTTCAGAAAGGAATTGTGGTTTGCCACCGAGTAGCACATTAATACCACGTCTGCCTGTTGGTATGAGAGGGGGCGAATGCCTTTGAAGGTGTCACTGCCAGATGTGTCCCAGAGACCTAGGCTGATCTGTACACCATCCATGAAGACATCTACTCCAGTATTTTCATACACAGTAGGTCTGTAGTCATCTGGAAAAGTCTCAGAGGTGAAACGTACCAACAGAGATGTTTTCCCCACTGCAGAGTCTCCCACTAGGACACACTTGACTGAATCCAGCATTTTATTAATGTTCAGGACCACACAGCAGAAGTGGAATGAAGAGATGCAGGGGTCTCAGAGGCTTTCTAGATAACTTCCATTTGGTGAGAAACCATCCAAGTCTCTTCTGAAAACCTGACTGTGTCACTTGAGTCTAAAAACCCCTTTTCTCCCACACAGACCTGTGGTGCTGTCAGCTTTAATTCTTCAGTGAGTCAAATGACATTTCTGGAAGAAGAAAAATAAAATGTAATGGTTATAACCCATAGAGAACAGAACATTCTTTATCAAGATAAAGATGCCTGGACATGTCTTTGGACAGCCATGGGGAGTACCCCACATTGAGGACGCTGAACCTTGCCATTCCCTCCCAGGTGGCTGCTTCTGAAACAGCCATTCACATAAATAACCCTCTTGGTGCTCCACAGGAGCTAACAGTCCTATCACCTCTGCCATTCTCCACTGACACCAATGATTTCTTTCCCTCCAATTGTCTAAAAAAATCAATAAAATCAACTTAACTTCAGTATAACTGGTACTAACCTGCTTTTAGTGAGACATTGACTGCCTCTGACTTTCACCAAGACTGGCAGAATCCCGAATCCCTCTTAACTGATCAGTTCAGGTTCCCTTTAATATGCACCCATGCTCTCTAAAGGTAGTCAAGAAAAAAAATGCTTTGCTAGCCAGTTTGGCTATTTAAGCAATCCTATAATGAGCAGAAATACAGAGCCATTTGTGACAATGAGGAAGCAAGGACTTGAGGTGTGAATCAAGATGAACCTTAACAGATTTCAAAAGCAATGAAGGATCCACAGCAAAAATATCAAAAAGTTCAACATATTTTTTACAAATCACTTTCAACAAGCAAGAAGCACAAACCAAAGAAAGCTACACCAGCACTGCTTGCCCCGTCAAACCATTTCATTGGAAAGGGATACAGCTCCCCTGACATTTACTCTGTTGTAAAACTGAACTGAGAGTACCTCTTCAGAGTAAGTAATTACTTTTGAGCTCTTGCCAGCATTCAGTCAAATTTTCCTATTTTGAGAGTGTTTTTCTCTTCCCCACTAGCTGTGTGCAAGATTCAGTGCTCATCCAGGGCGACAAACAAGACACTACAAAAAAATCACTCACTGCAAACTGAGGGGAAACTAGTTCTGCTCAACAGAAGTAATTTTGAAAAGTATCACACATAACTTCAAAATGTCCTGTGTATGTTACACAAATAATGCATTTCTGTTTCCATACATGAAGATGGAAGTAACAGCTTAAGATTTTTTCATTTGCACAGAAATGAATAATGACCACAAAAGCATATACTTCACATTACCATTATACTCCCCAGTTTCACTACCCTAACACCCACCCCCACCCACCCACATTTCTAACACACTCAAAGCTTTGGCTTTACTCCACAAAGAGGAAAACAAAGGAAAAGTGCTAGATGAGCCTAGAGAGAACATTTTACAGGCACTGACAATTGCTACTGCCAACTCCCCTGCTTTTCTTCTGTAGTGCAGCACCCTACCTCCTCTCGTGCTCCCAGCACACCTGTATCTCTCCCAGTGTACTGGCCAAAAGATGTATCAGCAGCTTGGCCAGAGAACTGCGTTTTACAGAGGCAGCACCAAGCCTGCAGGGCAGTCCTCACGCGTACTTGAGTTACCGGTATCTAGAGGAGTCATTGCAACAGACAGTGCTTCCTGGTCTGCCAGTGCTCTCACCATCTCAGCTTGCTTCTAGGAAGTGGGATGGAGGCTGATGCCACTTCACGGCATTCCTGGCTGCTGGGAAACAAGGTGCTCCATGAAGTTAAGTTTTGGTGGCAGTCACTGGAAATTTGCTTGTAAAACTTCAGTAGGTCTAACTCCACTGTCCCACCTTCCCCATTCCCCAGACAAGCTCTCAGCAGAATCAAACAAGACATTTACAAACTATGTCTATGAAAAATTTGAAAAGTATATGCAGGAATACACAGTCCAATTACTTAAATGCATAATCATGTTTCCTTCAGGGTATTCTACTTTGAAATTGTGTGAGCAGTACAGTTTGAGAACACCACAATTCACCACAAGCCAGTAGCATATGATTCAGACAAGGCTGCATGCTCCCAGGGGAAGTCATCATGTAGAAACATAGAATCATACAACAGCTAGGGTTGGAAAGGATCTGAAGATCATCAGGTTCCAATCCCCTGTCACAGACAGGGACACACTAAACCATGTCACCCAAGGTTCTGTCCAACCTGGCCTTGAACACTGCCAGGGATGGAGCATTTATCACTTCTCTGGGCAACCCATTCCAGTGCCTCACCACCCTCGCAGTAAAGAACTTCTTCCTTATATCTAACCTGAACTTCCCCTGTTTAAGTTTAAACCCATCACCCCTCGTCCTATCACTACAGTCCATGATGAAGAGCTCCTCTCTGGCATCCTTTCAGAACAAACCTTTCTTTGGTGCAAGTAGTCCTTAAAACTTTCAGGCTCATTATTTTATGTGTGTTTGGATGTGGGGGAAAATAAGGATATTCAGAGCATGATTTTGGATGTGGGGGAAAATAAGGATATTCAGAGCATGATTTTTGCTATTTCATAAATGCCAGAATGGAGAAAGACAGGTAAAAGGATTGTTCTGGTACATAGCTTGTTGATTGCCAGGTCTGATTATGCTGGCTATTTTGAAAGAAAGTGTACAAATGATTAGAGCCTGAAATAGAAACTAAAGACTAATGAACATGGCTACTCTACACACAAATAACAAAAGCTGCAATATTCACCATGGCAGTGCAAAATTGTTTTCACAGCAAATTATATTGTTCTACAATCTATTGATGATTAAAAACGTACAAGTATATAACAAGGTCCATACTCTGATCCTGGGGACAGTCCGCTGTCAGTGTCCCTGATCCTCCTTTTGTTCACAGCCATTTGGAGTTCATGTGCCTGTGTATATAATTGGGACTACATATGTGCATACTGAAGGTATCTTTTTAATTATGCACATAGCTTGTCCTTGACAAGCCTCAGGGTAAGAGCAGTATTAGTGTATTAAAACAATTACACAAGTTCACCCCAATTGATGGAAAACTCTTCAGATTAAACATCAGCAGAAAACAATGTCCTTTAAAACACAGGCCAGTACTGGGCACTTCTGCACTCCAGTATACAGCCACTTGTGTAAATACTTGCAAAAGCTTGGGTTTTTTTTTTTGTACATTTTTGATTATGGTCTTGGTCTGACACTACAGCATGACATAGCCACTAAAAGACTGTACAAAATCTTCTGATCACAGCTGGTTGAGTCTAGGCTGCTGATGGATTATTTTTTTTTCCCCAACAATTTACTTTTCCAAATTTCACTGACTTTATCAAGTCCATTTTAGATCTGGAATTCCAGATATAAACCTGTATCTTGTTTTACACTACTTTGGTTTATGCTTTCATCACTCGTAACAATAGAAGATTTTATTTTAATAATAAAACGAGAGCTTTTAAAATATTATAAAAAATATATGTTTAATTCTGATGTAGTCTTTCTAAGTAGTGACCTTTAATAAAATTCAAGATTAACCTCAAAGAAAACTCTTGCACAGTTTTAGATAGAGCACTGTTTTTTTCAACTGTATTATACTATCTATGCAACTAATGCAACTTTTTTGTTTTGCTTTCCTGTTTTTGTTCCCTCTGTCTTTGGAATGTAGAACCATGGCACTGGTGTGTGGTCACAGAGCCCTCAGACTTCACTGATGATATGCATGCAAGAAGGCATACAAGAGCTGCTCTCTGGTCACTGCTTGTCCTGCTCCTCAGCAATCTCATCCAAGTAAATTCCTCACACTTGATCATGACTGAATATGATATGGAGAAGGTGAATTGTGTTATCAGCCTGTAATATGACAGGATGGGAAGAAGATCACAGCAGCACCAAGCTCTTTGTAGGTGGAGGATTCACGTGAATATACATCCCATGAAAAGATAATCTCATATTTGTTGAAATAATTCTACCAGCAAAGGAAAGCAAGGACTTCTTTTATCAGAAGCGGTGAGTTTATAAACTGAACCAAATGTGATTTTCATTCTCTGGCATCTAGTGTAAGACCATTGTGAGCATGTCCTGCATCTTTTTAGATCAGGCAGTCATAAAATTCTTCAGAGAGTTAAAGCAATTAACATGCTAACCATTATTGTCATTATCCAGTCTCTACCACAATTAGGTCTCAGCGCAGTTTCTGCTGATATCAGGATATGAGTAGGCTAATTTTTCGGTTTGAGCACTGTGTACACTAGCTGTTGAAGAGACCTGACATTGTGAGGAAATAAAAATATTTATACGACTAAAAAAAGCTGAAAAACACTGAAGAGACTTCCACTTGCCATGTGATGCTTGAATGCAGGTATTCTCTTTGCCTGCCTACATTACTCCTGCAAATCTCACCTCATGCAGAAGGGGGTCTGCAAAACTGCCAACAATTCCCCTCTATTACGTTGATTGTAATTGCTGCTCCTTTTAACTGCAATGCAGGTACCTAAAAACTCTCCTTGCATATCTTAGAGGCTTTCAAGGAAAGGAAAGTGATATAGAGAGTAACTTCACCAAGCGCAGCTTTACACCTTCACTTCTGTGGGTGCAGTGGGCACTGCAGGGCAAGGACAGTGCCTCAGAAAATTCCTGCAAAGCAGAAGGACAGAGAGAGAGGAGGAGGAAGGCTGGCAGGAAATCGAGACAGGGCAGAAATGCTGTTGCCTGGTTAGGGCAGCACTCAGAAGATGCAGTAGGGAGACAACTGGCCCCTGTGACAGGGACACCGCATCTGCTGTAGATCCAATCTGGATGCTCAGATAGATGACCAAGTTGCCCAGGTCATGCTACCTTGTTTTCAACTCTGTGCATAAGTTGTACTTGCTCTATTCAGATACAAACCTGCAGACTGCTGCACAGACCTTTTCTGCCACAGCACAGCGCTACTAAAAACTAATACATCAGCTGCACACCGTCTGGAGACTGCAGCTGGTCTGCAAGCAAATGGCCCCATACTGTGAAGTTTCCTGTCATGCATTAAGCTGATGCTCTGACATTTGCTTTAGCTGCCTCCTGGTTTTTAAACTCATTTTAAGACAATTTTGATCTATAGCACAAAGTGGCCCTGTCTTGACAGTTTACTAAACAGCCTCCCGTCGCCTCAGATAGGGTCAGAGTTTCAGTCCATAGTGGCATTCAGTGGTGGT